ATTTTTTACAATAATTCTTCAAATAACAGTTATTAGATTTAAACGTTTATTGTCAGAAAAACACATCGTTATGGATATTTTATAGAACAATTGTAAAAACATTTTAAAAAGTATTTCCGAACTTTTGGTCTGGAGTGTACATAATTACGCTGCGTATCATTACAATAATTTCACAACGATGAGATCATAAATTTCTACATATTGTTGCAACTAAAAAAAACGAGCGAGAGAGAGAGAGAGAGAGAGAGAGAGAGAGAGAGAGAGAGGAGAGAGGGGAGGGGGAAGGAAGGGAGAAAAGGAAGAGTCCCGTCGGTCGGTACGTTACTTTGAAGTCACGCTGAATCGCGAAGGGTTAAGGAAATAAGAGGTGCCTTGACCTACGGTGTGCAGCACACGGAGAAGAGTAGCGCGGAGCAAGCGCGCGAGTAATCGAGTATTTCTGCCGACCGTGTTCGCGACTATTATTGTCTTTCGTCCCTTTCGCCCTCGATAGAGTACGCGATCTCCTTCTCCCCTTATTTTTCGTTGCCGTTTTCTTTTTCCTCGCCGTCCTCTTCGTCTTCTCGGCCTTCGATGCTCGCGCCGACATGCGGGAGCCTATTCCCTGATTATCCACGCTTTCGCGGACTATCCTCGCCTACGGATGCCAACGCGCCTCGGTATTTCTCACCCACGTGATGCTGCTGCTGTCGCTGGTAGCGGTAAATAGAGAACGAATCTTGCGGACGAGATCCGCGCCCACGGTCTCGTCGCATTCGCAAGAATAAGATTCGCGCGGACGATGACCGGAAGCGAGAAGAACCATCTGAAAGGTCACGGCTCGCCGTTTACCTCGCTCGCGCTTGGACTCACTCGCAAGGCGTGTCTCGTCGGATTAGCCCCGCAAAACGGTGCCCGCCGGGAGGAATGAGGAAGCGGGATGCTTAGATATTGACAAACAAACGCGTCGCGTCTCATGAGAATTCTACACGGGACATTCTCAAGAGAGAGCCCAGCATCCGGATTGGAAGACGCGGCGAGATTCCGTGGTTGAATCGACGCCGCGATCGCTCCCTTAAAAGCCAAGCATATAAGGAGTCTCGCGCCGATATTAAAAGTTGACTCTAAATCGGTGATGTCGATGCGCACGTGCGCTTGGGCGTGAATTAAGTGCCGTCGTTCCTGTGGCTGTTTGAAATTCAGAATAATACGCAGGTAACTGACCATCGTATTATGGAAGTTGTATTTCCTGCTTATCGTAACGTTCCCCTATTTATATCGTGTTTGCGCGCTAGGCATAACGAAAAAATTTGCACGAGTACCAGTCCGTTGTGCCGAGATCGAACGCGATATTCCGCGGATACTATACCCGCCCACGTTTTCTTACATTCCGATTTTTCATTGTGATAATATTGCCGATGACCAGAAGAATGAGAAATTTCCTCCTCTACGCTCGGAATCGAGTTACTCGATTGCGAGATACGAATCTCATTAAGTAACGATTTCAGCGTTAGGAAAGCATCAACCAGAAAACAGAATTAATTTAAATTACATATAAAAAAATCTCGCATTTTTCTTTTTTCAATAAAAATTGAAATTATTAAGCGAGATATTTTTCTTTGGAATTCTAAAAATGGAGCTTTTTTGCTTTCTCTTTTTATGCTGTAATTGTTTATTTTTGTGTAATTTTTATTAAAAAATATATAAGTTTAATTATCGATTTTAGAACCTTATCTCGATTTTCTGTTTTTATTATTTTTGTTTTATGCTCATGAAGACTTATAATTAGTGAAGTCAAAATATTCATATTAATTTATTACTGTTTTGTTCATTCATTTAAGAATAAATTTTTTTTTTACTTTTTAATTTTCTTAATTGGATTGTTTTATTTTAGTTTTATCCCTTTGTATTTGCATATATATCGAATCTAAATAATTATTAATACATAATATTTCAAGTTATAATATTATTAATATATTTCCAAATTTTTTAAGAATATTATATTTTTTTATACAGGGTGTTTTTTGAATAACGTCCACTAATCATACTGTCCTATTTCTAAAAAACTCAGTCGGAAAGTTCTGTACCATTTTGCAATTTTCGCAATAGTTAACGAGATATTAATTTTTTAAACGTTACTAAATAAACACATAAAATCGATGTATAAAACAATTTTAAGATATCTTCAGCGTTCTTTGTGAAATATTTTGAAGTTTCTTAAAGGATGACTCTTAAAGATACTTCAAAGTTGTCTTACACGTCAATTTTAAACATTTTGCTCATTGGGTAATTAAAAAAAAATATTATGAAAATTGGAAAATGATGGAGGACTTTTCGATTCAATTTTTTTATTAGGAATAGTACTGTATGATTAGTGGGCGTTATTTCAGAAACATCTTGTATATATTAATTAATTTTTTAAACAATATTTTTTGTATTTCCTAAATAAATTCGGGTTAATTTTGTAGCTTCGAAAAAATTCGAATCTTTGAAAACAATCAAACATAACAGCCCTATTTGAGCCCTGTGCTGTTTTTAGAGAAACAAGATATATGCAAATGCTCGTAATGTCGGGTTTACACATTGCAGCAGTGGACAGGTTGATTCCCTGCGCCAACCCTTTATGTCATTATAATACTCGCTCGAGGCATGCGTGAATATCATACTGCGTGTACACGCGTGAGTCCGGGTCATCACGCCGGCACCGCCAAGGACGAGGGTTGTGTGATTTTATTGTGCTAGAGGAGGGATTCCTGGACGTCTGCGGTCTCCGGCGTGGTAAAAAGGCCATAGCAGGCGAACAATTCTGCCGAACGCGTGGCCTGATCGTGGCCCTGATCAAGGCCAATTGAGAGTCTCTCGCGATTGAAAAATCGCAACTGCCGGCGATCGTCAGGCACGATCTCGCTTCTAATCGCGCGCATAAATCGCGATTCTACGGAGGAAGAAGCAAAACGTGCCGGGTCACGTTTCACAGGCAAATTATCCATAAGGATCTCAGATTTGCGCCTTTGATTTGTATTTTTGTAATAAAAACTCGAATTCTCTTAAATAGGTGGATTATTCTTGCTGATCTTTAGCCGTATAAATCTGACAATACGGGATCCTAAAGATCTGAAGATCTCTGAGCATTTCGTATATTAACGTGTCTGAAGAAGCGTTTGTGTGTCGCTTTAATTTTATTGTAGAATAAAGTAATACAATAATTTCGAACATGATATAATTCTGAACAAAATAAGATTTATACTTAATTTTCTAGATTCAAATTTATTTATTTTTTCTATCTAAGGTGATACCTTTGATATCTTTGATGACGTTAGGGTTACCGCAAATGTAGGTGACTTGGGACAGCATGTACTTTCGTTAAATTCGTGGTATTTATTCACGAGTCATTAAAGAAAATTTAAAACTTAAACTTTCTTTAGAGGCTCATAGATAGGTATCACAATTAAATTTAACAAAAATACATGTCCCAAGTTACCTATACTGTCCCAAATCACCTACATTTACGATGCTAAACTTGAACTTCGAAATTGGATTCAAATTTTATTTTATTCAAAATTGCACCATGTTCGAAATGGCCTCACCTTATTATGATTAATTATACACGCTTAAACATATTTGTTGTATATAATTTATTGCAAGTGTAATAAAGAATAATGGGCAGACGTCAGGAAGACACTATATGCAAACCTTTTACGAACTTGTTGCTGGTATAAATACGCGGTTTCTTAAATGTACGGTGCTCCACGGTAGAAGAAGCAATAAGAGCAACAAGTCTGGCTCTAGCCTCCTCCCCTGGCGCACCATCAAGAAAATTAAAAGCATGTTACTTGATCCTGTTCGCAAACTTATGACATGTATGAGTTTCGATTCGGTATGCGCTTTATTAAACCGCGTGCATTAAACCTAAGGAACAAGCTTCATCTCAAAAGCAAATACGTACTCGCGCGTATTTATAAAACGAGGCAGAAACGAGACAGCATTTACCGAGAGCGGATCCTGATGTCCTTGACGTCGATCGACCATCGTAGCAATTATAATGATGACATTACATTAATAATGAGAACGCGAATCCTCTCGCTTGTAAACTAATGGAACTACTTTTCAAAAGATCTTTTAGCAGAAGTATCTCCCTGGATAGCGCGAGACAAGTTCGAAAGACTTCTCTGAACTACTTTTTCCCTTAGGTTTCTACATTCCTTTGAATTATCATGGACTAAGTAAAGAATCCATCGTAACCGGAACAAGGCTTTCGCGCAAGAACCTCATTAAAGTGCGTCAGCATTGCAGATTAAGCGAGGTTGAGCGTAGCCTCCGGTAGCCCGGGCTTACATTACAGTCGAAGAAATTCCGTATCTCCGCGATTGGGATCGTTGAACGACCTCGAGTAAGTCGAACCAGTTCGGTCTGCCCGACGTTCTCGCTTCATTCAATTCCTACCTCATTCTGACGACGCCTTAATTGTGGTATCGTGTAAAAGTTTCTGCGCCACACGTTATAAGAATAATTACAACCTACCGGAGATTCGTTGCAAGAGATTGAACGTTCGCTCCTCCCCATTGTAATTAGTCTCGAATCAAATGGGCTGTAGAGTCTTCTTTTAGAAATGAATAAACAGAAGAATGTATAAATCGAAAGGTGAATAAATTAAAATACAAAAATGCGAGGATGAAGATTAAATTTGTTGATATTTTCGAATAGTAAATCAGTATGCTTGTCAATTTGTTCATTATTTTACAATGGCACCTTGAGAGAGAAACGAGACACCTCCGTCGTTCATTTTCGCAAAGAGCAAGCCGGTACGTCGACTTTTCTCACCTTTACGACGCGTGCGAACGATATTACCATGCCGAAGACAGCACGATGGGCTTATTGAGAACTTAGGATCGACTGATGCGATCCGGGATCGACGTATTCTGTCTCGGCAAGCGGATCCGCCTTGTCCTTCGGCGGTTCCTCAGGTTCCTGGTTCGAAGACATCCCGCACGGCTCGCGCCACGTATATAAGTCAAAACCAGATCGCGAGTAAGGTGCACAGCCCGGACAGTTCTTCAGCCAGCAAGGAGGTCGGCAGAGACACACCGAGCACGATGCAGGCCTTGGTAAGCACTGTCGATCCTTCCTTCAGTTCAGAAGTCTCTTTATGAATTTTTCCGTTTTGAGGAACTTCAGTTCATCTAATATCTAAACGTTTAATCTTATTTCTTTAAGCCCTAAAAGTAGACATTTCGATATTGCGTATTATGTAGACTAGAAGAGAATTAGCTTGTAACAAATTAGATATTTTGCATAATTGATATTAAAATTATCAAAGCAATCAAGATTGTTATAAATTTAAGCTATACATAATTGTAATTTTTAGATATTATCTTTAAAAAAATTACTCAAATTTATTATGTAATTTTTTTTTATGTAATAGTGCATTTTTTAAGATTTTCAGATAATAAAAATTATACTCAAATAATAAAAATTAATTATCGATATTTCCAATATTGAACATAACGTATAATTTAGCAAGACATTAATTTTTCGTTAAATAGCATTTGTTGATTTATTTTTAGATCATGTGTTTATATCTACACCTGTGCATGTAAGAAAAATCGCAGAACGTATATAAATTTTTGTTAGACATTTTTTCTGGCTTATTGTGCGTGATACTAAAAGTGAAACATCAAAGTCTTTATTACAGATGACATCGAGTTAAATAGCAGCGGTCCGGAGCGAATATTCGCGGGATCCGCGGGCGTGATATACGAGCGTTATAATTTATTTGCAAGAGTTGTTCTTACGCGAGGCCTGTCGGTCTACTTGCTTTTTGCTGAGATATAAAAGCACGGAAAAATATACGTGTGTAAAATCCGCGGTACGAGAGCGCGACCACCGCGCGCGTTTTACGGCGACTTCGCCAAATGGTACTCTTATCCAACATCAACATAGAAAGGGATAGAACCCTGCTGTTTTTGCTGGCCTTTTGCAAGGTACTTCTGCCCGGCTTTGCGGGGTACAACGTTACAACTGTTTCACAACTTTTTGTTCAACATTTATAGGTGGCTTAAATTGCCAGACACGTTGCAGACACTGCAACAGTTTCGAAGAATTCTCTTTTAAAGTTGTGCGTTTGAATGAACATGGAGATTTAAAATTCCAACCGTGGGTTGGAAACTACAATTTTGAAATTTTTCATTTGAGCAAATTTTTTTTTGCAATACATCATTTTGTTTAATAATTTTGTGCAATTTATCATTGAATAGAATTTGTTTAATGCCATACTATATATTATATTGTCTTTGTAACAGAGAGTCAACAATTGACCTACAAAACATAAACAGTAACAAGATAAGAACAGTTTTGTTGAAGTATCTAAAATTTTAGCTAGATACAAATTTGATAATAATTTTGGTTGGACCATCGAAATAATTATGTAGATATTAATTGTACATTAATTGCTAGAATCAAAACATTTTGCAGTTTATTATGCTTGAGATTTTTGAATTTTTGATTCTGAGAAAATTATCTTGATGGTTCAACAAAACTATTTTAAAATCTGTATCCAGTTAAACTTTTAGTTATTTTAATAAAATTGCTCTTTCTGTGCATCAATATGTTATAATTTTATATTTAACAATATTTAACAGTTGTTATATATAACATATGTTATATTACGTTTATATGATGAGTAGGAAATTATAATATTGATGTAAAATTACTATTAAATGTGTTCTGTAGATGTACTCAATTATTTTAATTATAATTGTTTTAAGAAATTCTTAATTATCAACTCCTTATTTGTCTTATCTGTGAATAAAACCTAAGTTTTCTGAAACCTAGGTCTATTAGGCACTCGCCGTAAGTTGCACTCGCATCGAGAGACGCAGAGAGTTTAAAAGGAAAATATAAATTGTAGTTATCGATTCTTTTCTTCTTCTTACAGCTCCATTGCTAAGAATTGCTCTCTATCACTTTTCTTCTTACCGAACGGCCCATCGTCACTTCTTCATATTTTTCTATATTAGACCGTAAAGAGCGGCGTGCAAGTACAAACTCATCCTGTCCCACACTCGCTTGCTTTGTCCCCATGTCCTCTACTGATATCGTAAAAATTTATCGGATATTTCGTTACCAACTATTCGCTGCGGTGAACGCGAGGAGTCTTCTCTTTCTCTTGTCCTCTGAGAGAACGAAATTCCCGACGCGGTAATTTTCGCGGTATTCTACGAGAACATGTCCCAGGAACGTTCGCCAGCTAGTTGCGCGAGTAAATCCACTGACGCGACGATTGCATGCAAAATGAGTGTTCCGAGGGCGAGTGTACTTACGATTTGCATTTGTTACGAGATAAAGCGTACTCGACCGAATTTTCTGTGCCGTGGAACGAATGCGCATAATGCACGTGTAATGTATCGTACTCTTACGTATTGCCGTATCTATTCCTCCCGACGAATCTGCGATATCGAGTAACGGGATATCATTCGTAGAATTAAACCGATTTTAAACCTGGGAAGAGTTACCATATCTAAATAAAAAATGTATATATGTACATTTTTTTTAAAAAGATGATGATCTGGAGGCCAAATTTTGTATGCGTTAAATGTATTTAATAAAGTAAAATTTCTAGAACATAATTTTTTTTTTGACAATTCTTATTAAAGATGTATTATATATATTTTTATAGTAATGAAAAAATTATGAAAAAGTATAGATTATTCTAGATTGCATTTAAAAGTAATACGAAAAGTTTAACAACGATTCATTATCTGGATCAAACATTATTTTAATAAGTAATATTTTTAAAATTTATGCTCTAATAGAAATGTATTATAAAATAATGATAAAAAAGTTTCAATTTTTTACACAAGTTTTTTAAGCATTTGAGATGATTTATATAAAGTTACATTGCGATGCAGAGATTAGTTATTCTGTAAATAAACAAAATGTTTATTTCTTCTTAATCTTTGTAATTATAATCTCTGAATCGCAATGAAACTCTTCACATAAATAATTTTGAATACTTAAAGTACTTATACAAAAAAATTGAAATTTTTGTCCTTGTTTTTTTCAATTTTAATTTATAACAATAAAAATAATAACAAATAAGATAAATAAACAATAAAAACATTTAAAAAATATATTGTTATAAACACAACTTTCTTATACATTTATTTAAAGTTTATTTGAAGTATAAATATTACATATTTGTGAAAAAAAATGTAATACATCCTTAATACAAATTTATAGATATAAATTAATTAATGAGTTTATAGATATGAATTAATGACCTAAAGTTTTTACGACCTCAAAAAAAGTACACGTACTCTTAAAAGGGTATGGCTGGTAATCCTACTCAGGACAATCATAGGAATATCGGGGTTCTATATAAGCGAGCGGCAGGCGCATGCAATAAGTGCATCGATATAGAACACGTACAATTATCGCTTTGCAATTTTAGTCGGGTATGATCCACACGATAAAATATATAGAAGATCTGTTCTTAGGTCTGTTCTTTAACTGAACTTCTTGTATCATTTATTTTTTTTTTCTCTTTTTTTCTCTAACGTGAAGAGAAAAAGAGGAAAAAGATGAACCGTGTAAGAAGTTTAGCTAAAAAGATCTGTTCTTTTAAGCTAAACTTCTTGCATGGTTCATCTTTCCTCTTTTTATCTCCAAGATGGAAGAAGTTCAGCTAAACAGGCTTAGAGTAAAAACCGTAATCGCATCGTATCATACGAACGTAAATCTCGATCGAGGAGACAGTTTCGAAAAATGGCTTAGTGTTCGTCTAAAATACACGGATTAAGTTTGGCGTAAGAAGTAATAAGAGTAGGAGCGTATAAATATGCAATTGTAATAATTTTTGATATATTTGTAACACTGGTTGACAATCTTATTGTGATTGGTTGAGCGTAAGGGATGGAGTAAAAAAGACTTATTTCTATTATAGGAATTAGATTAATAAATTAAGAGAAACAATCCTATTTTTGATCGAAATAAATCTTGGTACTTAATATTCATGTACAAATTTTTGCGGATAAATTTTTCAGTTTCATTAACTGCGTTATCGATTCGGTTTGTCGGACTTGAAACGCAATCGCAAATTAAAGTTGAAATATTAATATCTCAAATTAAATTGATCAATTTAATAATGATGCTAATAAGCATCTTAAAAATCCGTAAAGAATTTATTACAAAATATTCTTGCGCCTATACATAGCTTCCTTATATAGGAAGTATGTTAGGTACTTTATTCTTATACCAAGCTTATTGTAAACGGTATATTGTAGACGGTACCACTTCCACGCGTGGTACCGAGAAAATTCTCTTGGATGCTGGTCAGCTTCCGTATTCTCGAGGTAAGAGCCTATTGTTTGAACTCTGCAGATTCCAGTTTTCGCGATTCTTGGCGTGACGGCGAGCGCGCGGCTGACCCTGCTGCCCTACGCCTATCTGGCGGATCCGCTTCCGGTGTACCATCAGTCGCAGGACACGCGTGCCGGGGTGCACGCGTACAGTTACGCCGGCGGCCCATCTGCCAAGGAGGAAGTCCGGGGTCTCGACGGGGTCACGCGCGGCTCCTACAGCTACGTAGACGCGCACGGTATCCTGCAATCCGTCTTCTACGTCGCGGATGAGGGCGGCTTCCGCGTCGCGGCGACAAATCTTCCTACCGACGGTAATCCACCGCTCGAGACCAGCGAGGTCCTGTTAGCCAGGTACGCCCATCCGCAGGAACTCGTGAAGGCCGCCACCGCGGAGGAGAAGGGGCATTTAGTGAGCCGCAGGAAGCGCAGTCTCGAAGCATCGACCGATCAAGATCATCAGACAGAAAATCCGAGTTCCCAGGGAGATCAGGCCGATCAGGACTCGGCGGCGATCGCCTCGCCGAAGAGTTCCCACGAGCTTTCAGCCCCGGAGGAAAAATCCGACAAAGGTCGGGCCAATCGCGACGCCGCGGGGCCTATCGTCGCGCCTGTATATGGTCTGCTAGACTCGGCTCTGATCCCGAGATCGACCGGAGCGGCGACTTCTCATCAGAGCCGCGTCGATGTTCACAATAACATTCGTTTGAAGGCCGTTCAACCTATCAAGACGATCGGAGTCCTGTCGGAACCTGCCGAGACGGTGATCCTTCCCAGTCAGGTACCTTTGGCGACCTCTCATCAGAGTCGCGTCCAGGTACATAACAATCTTCGCGTTGAGGTGCCGGAAAAACTCGTCAATGTAGAAACGATCGAGGTTCAGCCGCAAATAGCGGGGGCAGCCGCCGTCAAGTTGGAGCCGCTTTCGCTCGTTTCCGATCTTTCCGCTTACAATGAAAATCGGATTCAGCTTCACAGAAATCTCGGCTTGGAAGGGTCAAATCGCAAGGATGCTGTGAAGATCGACGCGGCACAGCTGGCCATCGTCGAGACGCCAATCGCCGCTGTACGAGCGGTTCCGGTCGCCAAGGAATCGGTTCCTGTCGTCGTGAATGAAGCAGTTCCGATCGTTGCCGAGCAAGCACTTCCGGTCCTCGCCAAGGAATCGGTTCCTGTCGTCGTCAATGAAGCAGTTCCGATCGTTGCCAAGCAGGCACTTCCGGTCCTCGTCAAAGAAGCGATTCCGGTCGTCGTGAAGGAGGCACTTCCAGTCGTCACTGCCGTCTCCAACCAGAATAGAATTCAGATTCATCGCAATACCAAACTCGAAGCTGTACCGATCGCGAGCGAACCGACCTTGTATTGGGCGACTTCCTATGCTCGACCGATCAGTACTTGGCCGATTTTAACACCCATTGCTCAATCCTCTCAATATCGCCATCAGATACACTCGAACGAGAAAATTGAATTCCCAAAATAAGAATTGCGGTCGTTTTGTTCGTTGATATCGCGAGAATTTTCTTTGCGCGTTTATTTATTTTCATTGATAACTTTTAATGAATTTTTTGTAACATAATCGAAATCTTGATTGATATCCTGATAAACAATACCATTTTCTAATTTGGCTCTTTAAATAGATTCAAAATTTCAAAACATTTTATAGATATTTCATAGAATATTTCTTTAAATGAATCTGTATTTTTATTTTTTTTTAAGTAAAAGTGGTTAAAAGTAATATTGAAATCGCAAAATTAATCGTAACAAAAAATTTAGGCTTTAAAGAGTCAAAAGAAAACGCGCGGATAAGTCGTTTGCATCGTGCTTAAATAATTAGAATAAGACATTATATCTTCAGCGAGAGTTTCATGAACGACTGATTGATGACAAGCTCGTTCATGATAGCTCGCTTTTTAGACATCATTATTCGTTCCCGTCTTGCATTCATTTATCATGTAACAAGCATCTTATAAACTTGTATTAAATTATTGTACGATTATACGATCTTCGTCCGATTCATTAAAAACACATCATCAATCTTTTGTGTATAAATTATTACCTTTCTCTTATTATAAATTGTCATCTTCCTCCATACATAGATATTTGTAGCTTTCCATTAACGTCAAAACTCAGATAATTCTCATTTGACGACTTTTGATAACTCAGTTGAATGCACGTTTCTTTCCATTCTGACGAGCGAGATTCAACTGAGTTTTTATCTACAATCTGCATAAACTCGAGACCGTATACTTTACTGAGTATTGTTAACTCACATTAAAAGTGAACAGGTTTATAAATCTGTGTTGTTATGGGATAACTTTGTTTTTACTAAAGTAAGTAAATAATGACGTCATTATCTGGAGCATAAAATACTTACATAACTTTTGACTCATTGTCAGAGAGTACCATTTATACGAAAATGAAAAATTATTTTTGTAATATTGAGCTCAATCGAATCTTTGTCGTTCGGACACGCTGCATAATGTCTAACAATGTCGATCCGGATGAGAATTTAAATTGACATGTTAAACTGTTCTGCGAGAACAATAAGTGGATCTTCGTCTTTGAAGAATAATCGGCGCATTTATTCAAATCGCACCTTTAATTAACCACCGAGTAATTAACCAACATCGAGTCCGATTCGTTCCCTTTGAACGCGGAATTTACATCAATCCCTAATCCTGAGACAGGGTGGGTATTCTTTTACGATCGGCTGCGTCGGACAATTTGTCGTCGTCGCTTTACGCCCGATATGAAAATCGCGACCTTGACATCGGATTCTTACCGTTGCGAATATATTACGGCGTTAAAACTTTCATGCACGGATATCGCGTGTCCGTCGAGTAACGATGAGATTAACGGGGGAATATACGCGAGCGAATCCAGCATGTGTCCCGTGCACTTACTCGCGTTCTTATGACGGAAATTTTTCTAAGTCGCGTGTATTCACATGCCGGAGAGAGGCATCTGACAGGATTATTTTCTGCAGATGGTATTGAGTGCTTCGGGTACGTTGGGTCGAATTTTACGAGCGAGATGTAAGAACAAGGAGAACGTTTTATAGAGATGTAAATATCGATTCATTCCAGATGAGCTTATCCGCCTCTCGGATTTGTAAATCATTGTCGTGAAATAAAAATTCGCATCTACTTTTGCAAGGCTTTATATACTGATTACTTTATACTCTTTGATTTATTAACATTTTCATTTATGTATATATAATGTTATAATTATATCGTTCCAACTCCAACAGTTATTAAATTAAATTATTATTATATTATTATATA